GCAATCCTACTTCCGTAGTGATACTGCCTCGGAAACCCAAGGAGGGGTCGCTAGGAGTCGGGGCCGACTCGACGGCACATAACAACAACAACAACGGTTCAAATTTTGAAATAAAGTGAAAGTCAGAGAACTACAAATAGATTTACCTGTTGGTTTCTTTTAAAAAAAAAAAAGACAGCACCTAACAACAAGAAGCCATCTTGACTGGGCTCAACTTCTAGGTTTCACACACATGAATCTCAAGTAATTTCCGTCACCCCACCAGCCAAAAAAAGTGAGGAGCATATAGAGGGCTAGTCTTTCTCTCCTTGGAATAGCTACAATGTACATGGAAGACTGGAAGAATAGATATGCAAGGGAAGGAGCTGGGAGGTAAAAAAAAAATAAAACCAAATGTGCAGAAACAGCTATTGAAACATGCATGGGAATGATCAACAACAACTCCCTCATCATGGTTACCTTTGGGAGGAGGGAGAGGAACGTGACCAATGGGCAGGGGAGTCAGTCCGTGGAGGGTTGTCTCCCATTTTACTAGTAATGTTTACTTTTCAAGCTGGACAGTGGTATATGGATGGTCAATACAGTATTCAATATATCTTATGTCTGACTGAATAGCTCATGATTTTAAAAACATATATTTTAACCTAAGTAGCTTCTCATATGGAGTCTCTGAGTGGTACAAGTGGTTAATGTACTTAGCTGTGAACAGAAAGGTTGGAGGTTGGAGTCCACTCAGAGCCATCTCCAAAGAAAGGCCTGCTGATCTACTTTCAAAAACTCAGCCATTGAAAACCCCATGGGGTTTACACACGTAAGGTCTCCATGAGTCAGAGTTGACTTGACGGCAACTGGAACTGGAAGCTTCTCATACACAGGAAACCACTTAAGCTAAAATCCCAAATTCATGCTAAAGAATGATTTCAAGGAAAAAGAGAGGTTTAGCTGCATCTTCTCCACTGCTGGATAAGACTTCAAGATGCTGATGACCAAAGCATTCAGACACTGATGAGGTAACAGAACTGGATACAAAAAAATCAAAACGAAACCCATTACGATGGAGTCCATTCTGACTAATGGAAGCCCCATCTGTTACGGAGTAGAAGTGTTCCATAGGGTTGTCTTGGCCGTAAACATTATGGAAGCAGATTTCCAGGCCTTTCTTCTCAGGGACCCCTGGGAGGGTTCCAACCACCCCAACCTTAGTAGCCAAGCGTAAACTGTTTGTGCCATCCAGGGCACCCATAGCTAGATAGACAGGCTGATTTTGAAAGTAAAGAATCCAAGTTTGTTGCGATTATGTTTTAGCAATGAATTTGATAGACCTTCCAAAAATATAGATTGCGGCCCAAAGAGTGAAGAAGGAGTAAACAGCTCTCCTTGGGGTTTCGAACTGCATGTATCTCAGCAACTTGTCTAACAGAATCAGCATCTGCAATAGTTTCATAGGGGCCATGAAGAATTCTTTCAAGCCCTCAAGAGGTTTCAGGCAAGGGGAGGGGGAGGAAACACTGCAAAAATAAAAATAAAAATAAAGAAGTTTCAGGCAAATATTTTACAGGTGGAATAACTAAGGCTGTAAGAGATGATCTTACCCATTTTTTGTTTCCTTCTCTCTGACTAGATTAGGACCCTTAATCACAAGTGAAACATAGACTGTGTTGCTGGTGACACTGCCCATTTTTCAAAGGGAATAATTAGGACTGCTTATTCTATTCACTTCAACCACATTTGTACACTTTAGACAGTGTCTGGCGCTAGGTATTGTGGAGAATACAGATATACTCCCTTCCTTCAAGGGGCTTATAATATAGGAGGAGAGTTAGGCCATGCATATCAATAGCTTTAATATGGTGGAAAAGGGTAAGTAGGGACAAAGTGCTTTTGGAATACAGAGAAGGGGGCAGTTTTTCATGAAGAAAGTGGCCTTGGGTAATGGATAGGATTTAAACATCTGGAGATTGGGGTAGTAGGGAGATTCCAGAAAGATTCCTCTAGGAAGAGGAAATATCAGGTGTCAACAAAGAAACAGAGCAGAGACAGGCTGGGAAGTATTTGGAGACTAATAAGTAATCCCACTTACACACACACACACACTGCCGGCAAGTCGGACCTGACTCATAGCGACCCCTCCTTGGGTTTCTGAGGCGGTATCACTGCAGAAGTAGATTGCCCAACCTTCCTTCCCAGGAGTGGCTGGTGGGTTAGAACCGCCAGCCCTCTGGTTTGCAGTCAAATGCCTTAGGCACTACGCTACTGGAGCTCTTTAATCCCACTTAGCTGGAGCCTAAGAGGTGGGAAGAGGAGTATGGGAGGAGAAAGTTCAGAAGGTAGATTGGGGTAAGATTGTGCAGGGCCATAAGTGCCCAGCTGAGGAGTTCTTACTTGATTCTATAAGCAATGATAAGCTCCCTAGCAGTGCTTAGTTCTTAAAATCTGTCTATTAAGCAAAGTCTTCCCTCTTCTGCCAGCCCATACCCTGGGTATCAAAACCCGGGGTCCAATGCTTTAAGAAGAAAAGTTCCATATGAAGAAACCAAAGCCATATAACCAACACGCACACCTCAGAAACAGATAATATAAGAGCTGAAGATGGTTACTAACACCTTACTAGTTATTTTGCAATAGATAAAGATCACTCACATATTCCCATTTTTCCTGGGTGTAGGGACAGAATGAGAAGGAAAGAAAAAAAACTGCCACAGTTTATCACCTGATCTCTGGCCTTAAAGACAGTCACATGGGTTGTGACCCCAAGAGTAAAGAGAGAAACTGCATGTATCCTTCTCTCTCAGCGACTTATCAAATAGAATAAGCATATGATATAGTTCCATAGGGGCCATGAAGAATCCTTCAGTGTCCTCAGGAAGGTGCAGCTGAGTCCCAGATTTTAACAACCATCACTTTGTTTATTTAAATTTTAT